TCACGCGTTGCGCGTGGGATGGGAGTGTAATGATGGCCTTTCCTTGGGGAGTACATCGTTTCTACGGCAGCCGTCACCTCGATTCCTGAACCACTGCCAGCTGGTAGGCGCCATGACCATGAGCGTCCACCTTCTCAGAACGCAACAAGCACAAGTACCATGCCATGAGCGTCTTACCCTTGTGAAGCATCATACTTCTTTATGTCCTGTGCATGCTCAGAACATCAGAAGTGGGGGACTTGTGTTGGGTTAATGGCCCAAGTAAAAGTTCGGCCCATTTACCCTTTCATTCGGACGTACGTCCGGACAGGACTGGGTAGGCTAAGCTGACAGGCAACTTGGAAAGGACGGACGTCGTGACTAAGGCCTTGACTTACCAGCCCATTCCGACAAACGGCTACACAGTTGACAGTGAGTCAGGCCCACAGACCACTAGGATGACGACGAACGTCGTCAGACCAAGCCCATAACCACTGGAAGCAATCCAATCCATATGGCAAATCCCCCAAGGGCCAAGGGACGAACGACCCACTACCCTTTACGATGTCACCAGAAGCAACTCACCTCCCCCAGCTGGACGAACGTCCCCACTAATTAGGCGGGAAACCCAGATCCTAGCGGGAAGCGCATTTAATGCTGGAGATTTGGTGGTTGGAACACCAGCCATTCACAATCTTCCACGTCAGCATAGCCAGCTGCCCATTGGTGATATAAATAACTGCATTTATTTCATTGTAAAGGGTTAGCAATTTTCTATTCTTAGCACTCTAGCTTATAGCCTTCTTACTCGCAGCATTTCTACTGCCTTGTAAGACGAACGGCCGACGAGCCTTTAGCAAAAAGTATTGTATTGGGGAGTTATTAACAGATTAATAATACCTAGTCACTTACTTGCTACTTACTGTTTCTGAATCCATTTAAATTGTTAGTTGGGCTAGATTATTCATACACACTCCACTCGAAACTCTTGGGCTTACGTGTTGAACCGGAGGGTTGAAGGAATAAACCTCAACAAATATGCAACTATTATTTACAAAAAAAAAATCACAAGAAATATTCACAGCTATTTTCATATTTCTTAGTAGTGTACGACTAAAGTTACTACTATAGTCACTACACCTAAGGTGTCACATTTTTGTAAATAATCTTAATTTTAGTCACATATATCGGAATATATGTTTACTAACATTCTATAAAAAAAATTAGTAAACACTAAAACGCCTTTGACGCCTATGTCTCGCTTAAACTTGCCTAGGTTTCAAATGCTTAAGGTCCGATCCGCCTCTTCATTCCCGCCTCACACCTTTTAGAATACTGGCCTGTAAGGAAAAATGAAACTAAAAAACTAAAAATGTCTCTTTACGGACACTGATTTTGCATGTCATTCACATCGATTTGGTGGTTGTGCCGCACAAACATAAGTTGTTTGTGTACACAAACAAAATGTTACAAATAGACAAAATTATATGGCTACAAGCATTTTCTGTCTGTATACAGACAATTGATGTCTGTATACAAACATTGGTTTGTGTGTAAATCACATTGAATTGCTTGCTCTTTTTTGCAGAAATGTTAGAGTTAAGTTGTCTGTGTGCACAAATAAAAGTGTCACTAAGACAAAAAAGTCTGTGTACAGGCATCTTTTGTCTGTATTCCGACAACTAATGCTGGTATATAGACATTAGTTTACATGTAAGTAACATTAATTTGAGCATTTTTTTGCAGAAATGCCAGAGAAAGTGGTATAGAAATCAATATTTATGTACGCAGACATTAGTTGCCAAAAATGTGTTTGTACTTATATTTTTTTTTTGCGTACACAAACATTGGTTTCCGCGCAACATTTTGGTCTGTGTACACAAACTGTGAAAGAAAACAGTGTCTGTTATGCAGACATTGTTTGTTTGTGGCTAAATTTGTAAAATGTTACTATTTTTCAGTTTTTTCTTCCAGACAAAATAAATCAATATTTTCCATGCCACAAACGATATTTTATATATTACAAAGATGGGAAAAAAATTTGGCGGCTATTGAACTCTAAAGTTCCGATGACTTTCAACGATTTTCTGGTGACTCTTTGTTGAATCCCAACACTCTTAGATGGACGCCGAATTTTTTTTAGAAAAATTAACACACAGGAAATGAGGGCCTGTTTACTAACAACGATGTTTTCTTGATTTGTTTTCTGTTTTCCATTCTCCAATTTTTTATTTTCCGTTCTCCAATTTTCAGTTTTCATTTTCCAAATTTTTCTATCTCCAATTTTTTTTAGATATACATTTTCTAATTTTCCATTTTCAAATCTGAAAACATGTTCATCATTTTTTTCACCCGGTTCTGTGACAGACCGAAAGATAAAAAGTACGATCCCAGTCCGAAACCGAACCTAGTACAACCCAAGTAGGGTACCCGGTCCCGAGTATAGGAAAGTCGGGACCAAAACCGGCCAGTCCCAATCGGCCCCAACAGCTAGTTTGATTAATTCTTCTCTTTTTCTCTATTGGTTGGCAACTCAACAATTCTTTTGAAACTTTTCACTTTAACAAAATAAGTTAAAAAAATTAGGGACCAAACTGCTGGATCCTCGATTGGACCAATCAGGGACTGCTGAGTCGTTGATCGGACCGAGATTGCCATTCCTTCGATTGCACCGAACATGTACCACCTGATTATTGATCAGACAAGAAACATGTGGTCGTCGATTGAACTGGACAAGATCGCCGCATCATTGACCTGACGGACAAAGACGATTGGGTCATTGACCTGACCAGACATCGACCGTCGGGTCATCAACCGAACCGGACCGGGACCGCCTGACCATCAACAGGACCTAAACATGACTGCTTAGCTGTCGATCAGACCAGACAGGTAAATTGGGTCGTTGATCGAACTGGACAGGGACCGTCGGGTCGTTGACCAGACTGGACCACCGGGCTGTTGACCAGATCGGACCACCGATCCGTTGACCGCACCGGATACGAACCGCCGGGTCGTTGACTGGACCGGAACTGACACCGGAGCGGTACCAGATTCACTACTAGGCGTAAGTATGCAAATTCATTGCAGCGGCACTGCAACATCCGTTGGTATCAAATTTGGAAAATTAGTAAAACTCACTTCTCTAATTCATTAAGGAAAACAAAGACATATCTCATTTTTTAGAAAACCATTTGGTAAACACATTTTTCTTTTTTCTTTTCTCCAGTTTTCCAACAATTTGTTTTGGTAAACACGTTTTCAGTTTTCTGTTTTCCAGTTTTCTAGAAAAATGGAAAATATCTCTGTGAGTAAACATACCCTGATGTTTCATTGATCGCTCATGTACAACGTTTCTCTCAGGTCTGCGGCTACTGCACACTTACCCTACCTAATAGGTAAATACGTAGTATCTACTACCTTTGTAACATATATATATATATATATATATATATATATATATATATATATATCCCCGTTTAAAGGTAGGTGAGATTAAAATAGTGAAAGAGAATATAAATTATTGAGGGTATGATGAGAAGATAATACAATAGTGTGATGAAATGAAAGATAAATCCAAAAAAAGTACTACCTCCATCCTACTATGTTTGGGACAACTCGGTTTACGATGTTTGATCGAAGATAAAGCAAACAGATCTATGTCCGAACTCAAATTATTTTTAGAAAAAATAAATTACGTATTTAGAGACTATATTAAAAACTTTACAATGTCGCAAAAACCAGAATCAAATTTGATAAAAATTTGATATATAAAGTAAGAGATTAATAGTGATTTGTGTTGACTAAGTGAATAGTGTCTGGGACAATCTTAGCGGGACGGAGGGAGTAGTTGTAATAGTGTATTATTTTCTAAATTATTGAGGGTACAATGAAAAGATTCAGAAATGGGAAGATATGAATGTTACTGACGAAAAAAGAAAGTGAGAAGATATAAATGTTATGAAAGAGTATTAGGATGTTTTTATTTGGACTGTAATTTGTCCCAGACCAGACCAGACCAGTTCAGACCACACCAGACCAGACTTGGGTAGTTATAAAAATACAAAGAAACCAGACCAGACCAGCAAATTACAGTCCAAGTAAAAACATCCTTACCTAGGATAGTGTGCATATAAAGAATAAGGAATAATTTGGGCCCTAGTATTTAGGTGGCCCATCTAATAAAGGCTGAAGTAGTAAATACAATATAAGGATAGTAAAACTGAATTGATCACTTTAAAAAATTCTAGAAATAATTACACAAATATGACCAAAATAAAGATGATTTACAAAAATATGATTATTGACTAGAGTAGTAATGAAATCATAGTAATTCATGTTCAAGTTTTGAGCTTAAGTTACCACAACACCACATTGCAGTAATGAAAAGTCATATTTATGTAAATATGTTTTATTTTAGTAATATTCTTGTAAAAAACCCAATATTCTACAACTCTCAAATATTCTTTTTCATGTGCATAAACAAAAATAAAGGTGAAAATAATGGTGAATATGGTTTATGAATACAAGGTAAAAAATGATCTTTATCAATTTAGAACATGAAAGATAGATGAATTATTAATTGAAATAATTACATAAGTATGACTAAAATAAATATGGTTTACAAAAATATGTCTAGTTACTAGAGTAGTAATGAAATCAAAGTAATTCATGTTCAAGTTTTGAACTTAAGTTACCACAACACTACGTTGTAGTAATGAATAGTCATATTTATGTAAATAAATTTTATTTTAGTAATATTCTTATAAAAACCCTTATTAATTCGGGACTTAAAAGATGAAATGTGTTGTATAAAATCTGAAACATTGAAAACTATCCATTTAGAACTTAAAATTTCATAGCTTTTGAGTTCCCCAATTTAATGTTAATTTCATCGCTAATTTTTTATGAATATTCCTCCACAAAAGTTTATTAGTTTCACAAAACAAATAATATTTTAAAATATGAAAATAAAAAAATTATACGGAGTAGAATTCATGACAAAAGAAACAAAAGAAGATAGAAGATGGTTAGCCGACCAGGAAAGTAAGAAGTGTTCGGTCCCTTCAGAGTGGTGGACTGCTGGATTGGGCGACGGCAATCGACTCTCGACGGAATCCCTAGTCCAAGTTAATTCTTCAGCCCAAGAGCTGAAGTCGTATTTTCGAAAGAACACCTTCATAGTCACAGAGTGCGAATCATAGTAAGTATTTTTTCTTTTGAATCTTTTACATACCAATTGGTTGTTCATTCGTTTTAAAATTCGTTTATGGTTAGTATTTGCGTTCCGCTTCTCATCACCTAGGTTTTTGTTTTTATTTTTGCTGTTTCATCTTTGTTTCGTTTGTCAGATGATGTCTGCTCTGTCCTGGAGTATTTTATTTTGAATTTTCTCGTTTTGGTGTATTTTTTGAGTTCTTTACTTAATTCTTGGTTCAGGTTTAGCTTGGTTTGTGCGTGTTTATATTTTATTTGGTTTAGGACTTTCAACCCCTTTAACTTATTCATCTTCTTTTTATTAAAAAATTGTTATTGATAGAATGAATTATTTCCACTCTTTAGGCTCCAGCAATTTGTTATTTTTTGAGTGGATCATATCATGTGTGGTTCTTCTTTGCATCTTTGGAACTGTAGGTATATAAGCAGAAGCAGTTGATTGAGGAAGTTCTGGATCGACAGTCTTGGTAACTTAGTTTCTTTCTACATTTGGGGGAGTTTAGACTCTCTTATTCAATTTGAATTCACATTAGATTTTGAGTTTTTTATATTTTCTATTGAATTATAAAACCCTCTTGGCCTTTAATCGTTAAAAATGGATGGATTAGGTAATTCTTTATTCATAATACACCGTAGCATAATCTTAAATAAGGGAATATCAAATGTGCGGCTTTTAATGACAAAAGTCCATTGTAATGCTTTGTGCATATATAAAATTGAATATCACACATTTTTATTGTTGCATCTCTTGTTTCAGCCATTGATGCACTTTTGCACGTTTATTATGTTCAAGTGCTGTATTGCGCCTTTAAACAGGGAGATACACTTTTATATTGCGTTTTCATTAAAGGTCTCCGTATTTAAAAGAATGCCAATGTGTTTTGGCATTAAAATGATCTGATCCTTCATTTTTTACAACCCAATGGCCAACTTTGGTTCTTATTTTTCACCTAGGGAGTACTTATTTGAACCAAAATCTCTCTCACCACACACACACATATACCACGATTGGTTATGCTAGTTGAAGTGATCCGTGTTCTCTTTCTAAGAGTTTGGATATTATATCAAGTGTTCAAAGAACTGGAATAATGAGAATTGTTCACTCATGATAAAATTGATTAGGTAAATGTGGTACTTGTAGAATTGCATGTGAAAAATACAGAGTATAGGTTTAGAAAGGAAAATAGTAGTATATGACTGTGGGAGGAGAATGGTAAGGGCCTGTTGATGCTTATATGTGTTATGAGGATTGGTTTGACTAAATAATGAATGTTTTTGCTGATAAAGGTTCTCTCTTGTGATAAGGCGGCTAATATTGTTAGTTAAGGTTTTGTGTTATGAGCGCGGTCTGGATATTAGATATGGCAGGAAAGAGTCTCGTTCTTGGCAGAAACCCTAAAGATTTGACCTTGTCAAGGTCTCATGTTTAAGCTTGGAATTATATTGTATTATTAATTATTAATGATGTGAAGCCCTTATTTACATTACTCACAAATCTTAGTGCGCATGTAAATAAGTCCTAGCCTATTACAATACTAGGAATGTTAACCATAATAAAATATCCATACTAATAAGAAGCTACTAGAAATGGCAATGATACAAAACTAATACTATTGCTGAAATATAATCTTATACTCATATCATTTTGCTAGGCTATACCACACACCCTATGCTATAGGTTAGGTCAGTGACTTTGTATTCTTTCGATCTACCCCGTGTTTTCGCCATTGTGTAATATACATATATGCTCTTCATGCCCCAAATCATAAGATACTTTTTGCTTTTAGCTCATTTTTGCAAAGAAAACTACCAGACTAATACACTTTTTTCTCTGGTGGATCAAATGTGTCAAATCATTTCCTTAAGTTGAGAAAGAGAGAGGTGGATCAGGAAAACGGATATTATTTTTGAAAGGCCAAACTAGAATTTTCTTTACAGCTCAACTGCTCAAGTACTCGTTTCTAAACTCTACTTCTTTAGCTGTCACTTGCCAGTTGCCACAATATACTTTGTGCATGCATATTAATGATTAACCAGTTAGGTTTGCATGCTTGCCTGCTAAGTTTAGATTATGATGTGAAAAACAGAAAATGAAAGTGAAACAAGTTAACAAGTTCTTTAAAAATCACAAAAGAACACTACTTATGTATTTTTTCAAGAAATACTCCGTAATATTTATACCGTCATATACTCCGTAGTAGTTTCATATTTTCATAATTGTGGAAATTGCAAAAACAGTGTTGAGAGGATATTGTAAACAGTCTTGAAACTTTTTATTTAAAAGTTTTTGAGGGTTTCGGTTTCTGAAATGTGAAAACACTACCAAGTTCTTTGCATTGTGCATCATAGGGTCATGTTTTGGATATAATTTCTTTCTGTTGATCTGTTTTTGCTAGTGATCAGAGTATGCGCAATTATGCATAACCATAAATAAAGATAACACAAATTTATCATCCCCGATCTTCCTGAGTTATATTGCTGTTGGTTTTTTGTTACTGAACTTTACATGCCATCATGATACTCATATCAAGCTTCATAGCTGCACTTAAAACAATTGTAGGTTCATATCATGGGGGTCTTTTGCATATCTAATTAGCTTGATCACCCTTGCAATGGCGTTTTTCACTTTTCTGACAGATCGCTTTTTTTGCTGGAATGAGTAACATATTTATGAATCTTAAGTTAAATAAAAATCATTATTACTTTTATATACATAAAAGGGGATTAATTATGCTAATATTGTGTGAGGGTGTGTTTGTCACCGTGTTGTAAATTTTATACCCTCAATTTCCTGCTGCATGTGTATCTTATTTAATTAAGAAAATGGAAAAAATTATAGATGTGTTTAAAGATTGGCCTGAGTCATATTGCTGATTCTGAATAAGAGGTGGGTAGATGCAAAATAGGAGATGGATCTTGGGCTTTGTTTCTTAATAATCTAGTCCAATATTTTCGAGTTATTTTCAAAATACCGCATTCCTGAACAAAAGCAAAATAACTTATCTGGTGTCATGCCTCCTAAAGGCTTGTTTGGTTCTGGGATTTTGGAGGGCAGGGGAAGGGAGGGTTGATTTTTTTACTTCATTATTTCTATTTGATAGAATTAGATCTGAAAGAACTATATGATTGGTAAAATCACATACATATTATTTCTATGTTGTTTTTTATTTTTATCTTCACTTAAATTCCAATTACCTAAATGAAGATTATTTAAAAAAAACTGAATGAAGAAAATATTTGACAAATAATAGCACACCTCCTCTTCTCTCACCTCCGAAATCCCCATAGCAAACCAGCCTTTGTATTAGCAAAAAGGTTGGATCATTTAACAGGTCATCAGTTGATGTTTATGAATCGGATTGAGATTCATTCTATGGAGTATAAATTTTATGATGCATTCTGAGTAAGAGTAAACCAGCAATCTACTGAGTCTGAATGTGTATTGTAAGAGGGATTACAAGAAAGAAGCATATGAGGTCATAAAGAATTGAGAATTATATGCTTTTGTGGTGAATCGGTGATTATAATTGTGGCTCTATAAGGATGTTTTCTTTTGGACTGTTTTCAGTCCCAGACCAGACCACAATTCCGTAGTATTAAAATACACAGAGACTAGACGTTTACCAGACCAGTTCAGACCAGACCAGACCAGCAAATTTCAGTCCAAAAGAAAACATCCTAAGAGGGAGTAAAGAGTAGGAACCATCAACTCAGCCATATATTTTTTTCTAATCTTTGGAAGGTCTCTTACTCCCTTTTTCCATTCACGCTGTATATCATCGATGTGACTTTTCTGGTTTATCCCTCCTAAATTATGCCATTTGATTAAGTAGTACTATGTAGATGTTTTGATGGTTACTTTTATTGAAGTTTGGGATTATTGTTTATTCATGATGTATTAATCTATTTTATCCTCTGTGCTGATAGAAGGATAATATTTCAGGTTCCTTGCAGCACTCATATAACCATAGTACCATTCCTTCAAAATGAACTGCCAATATGGCGAAGATCATGTAAGCTTCAAAATCTATAGCTCGTTTTGTGTGTAGAATTGGTGGAATTGGATGAAAGGACTGTATTTTGCTGATATTATTGATGAAATTACTAAATATATGCTGAATTAGCTAAGATTTTCAGTGAGATAATAACTAAAAATGAGGGGCTGAAGTGTCATTTATCATCATTTCAGCAACTGTTCTCATGATTAACCAACTCAGCTCATGCTTTTAAATAGGTTAGTGTGATGGGTAAGGATACTCATTCTGCTGATAAGCAATAAGCTAATAAATGCTACACAGCTACCTAATGGGGCCACATTTTATGGTTGAAATTATTGTTGGTAAATCCAAAAAATGAAGTGACTAAACATATTCTATGTTTGTTAGGGTGAGGTGACTGTGATGGGATTTGAAGTTCCAAGATCGCCCGATTCAAGCTACAACAATGCCTATCCCGGGAACGCAGATGAGGGGCAGGACCCACCACCATTACCTCCCCACCTTCACCAGACCGTGCTAAATGAATCGCCAGCAGAAAGTAACCAATGCGGAGCGCTCACGTCACCGCAGAATGTGGTCCTAAATCATCTTTACATTGAGAGCAGCAAAAATGAAACGCCGAGAACTGTCGTGGCTTTAGGCACAACACAGCGTTTCCGTTCAAAATATGTTACAGTCGTGCTTTACAAACCCGTCCCTCGAAGGGTAGGCGGTAGTGTCTGAAGTGAAATTGTTGTAACTTTTTCTATTTTTAGATGTCGGAGTTTCACCTTTTAGTTTTACACCGCATGTTAATATGTGGATAAAATATTGATTCAAGATCTTAACTAGTTAAGAGTATTATTACCTTTTGTACTATGTGGTATAATGGTGTATACTTATGTGGTAAAACTAGGCCTGAGCGCGGATCTGGGAATTCTCGTTCCGTACCGAAGAACCGTCCCGAACCGTTCCAAAACCGATAGAACCGGAAAAATGTAATACCGTACCGTACCGCACCGAGTTTTTTTAATAATATGGTACGGTACCGGTTCTTAGTGAGAACCGTACCGGAACCATCCCGGAACCGTACCGAACCGAACCGTCTCGTACCGTCCCGAATTGTCCCGAAAACTAGTGCTATAATATAATAATAATTTTTATATATAATACTCCGTATAATATATTATATACTGAGTATAGTTGTCCGTATATTACTCTTACATCTTCTTTGGGCCCAATCCAATCATTAAAACAAAAACACTAAATGATTCGGAGTATAAATAATGCTACGTAAATAGAACAAAAACTCTTAAACCTAATTCAGTCGGCAACATATCCTCTAGCAGACCAAAAAGTCCAAAAGTGAGGAACGGCAGAACTAATCGCCTTTGGTGTTCTTCCTCAATTCGGCTCACCTACAAGGCTAATATAATCTTGCAAGTTCTTCTCTTCAATTTTTGTAGAGTTATTTATAAATGTTAAAATCTAAAGTTTTTATATTTCATGGGGGTTATTTAGTTATTTAAGAACCGTACCGAACCGTACCGTACCGGACCGAAAATTGGTACGGAACGGGACAGGTTCTACATATATGCGGGACGGTACCGGTTCTTGATTTTAAAAAGAACCGTACTTTGGAACGGGACAGGTTTTTTGAAATAACCGTCCCGTACCGTCCCACGCTCACCCCTAGGTAAAACTATGATAACCTTTTTGTATGATATGGAGAACGAAAACTTGCTAGTCTGCTAGATATACCGTATTTAGTGGACATCATCTATGGTGGCAGTGGCGCATTACATTGTTCAGCAATGATTTAAGAGCAATAAGTTGATAACACCTTTTTTGCCTTCTTTGAGTACCAATTAATAATGATGTATCATGATTAATTATGCATATTGTTTATATATAATGATAGTAATTGTAAGGGAAAACTGTCAAATAGGTCCTCGAACTTTCATAAAAAGGTCAATTAAGTCCTTCTATAGGAGGTTCTGTCTAGACGTCGCGATTTGGGGCAGTTTCCGGTGGAATTTTTTGGTGAAAATTTTTGAGCATCTTATTCACCAAGTCTAATTTGCTCATACCAAATTTCAGCTAAAACTTCAATCGGGAACACATTCAAATTAATTCTTGAAGATAACTGCACATTTTTGCGTTCTCGAATTAATTTGAATGCGCTCCCGATTAAATTTTTAGATGAAATTTGGTATAAGTAAACTAGACTTGATGAATAAGATGCTCAAAAAATTTCATCAAAAAATTCCACCGGAAACCGCCCCAAATCGCGACGACCGTACAGAGTCTCATATAGAAGGACTTAATTGACTTTTTTATAAAAGTTCGAGGACCTATTTGACAGTTTTCCCTAATTGAAACCATCCTGAATACGATGCCAATGAAAAAGGTTTTGAACCATAGCTTCAAAATGCTCGGGAATCAAATAGTTTCATTATTTTGTCAACCCCAGAGAAACTTCTAACTTATTCATTTTACTGATTGTTATTGGTTAAATCAATCCAGACGCAAAACAAGTACAATTGAAATTTTCTAAGTAATAAAAAGGGAATTGATGGTGTATATAATATACTTTCTATAAATTACTATAAATAAATATGCAATTATCACTAATCCCTTAATTAGAGTAACATTGTCCATTGTAAGAAAACAAATTGTTACTTGACTACTTGCATTTACATGCATGGAAATTGTGATGTTTAGGTTCCAATTTGTTAACATGTGGTCAAGCTTTCCATTGCCCGAAGATCCTTCATCCTTCTGCATTAAGTAAAAAAAAAATCACCATTTCATCTGGTTTTTGTATACTCCAGATTTTGTAAAATTTTAGATCAAAGAATGCACCATTGCTTTATTTTCCGGGGTAAAGAATGAGACCATTTACTCCATCTCGTGGTTTTTTATGGGCTGATTCAATCTTAAAATTATAAATTACTTCTTTAAACAAATTAGTAGAATAAAATTATGTATAAAGACATAATATAGAAATAATTATTTTCTAGTGAGATATTAATGGTATGTTTAAATAAAAAAGAGCAATATAATTATCCAATAAAAATGGGAAATATGAATTCGTAAAACACTACACGTAGAGCACTTTGAAGAAGATTCTCATTATGCATGTCAAACATTTTTTTTGGCAAATCGTTCTAACCTATAGTATCTACCTATAGTATTTGTTCTGTTAAAATCAACATCCTTGAACTGGGATGAGAATCGAACTTGTGACCTCCTCTTTGGAAGTGTCACAACGATGCCATCGGACCATAAGATACTTGGCTATTTATGCCAAACATTGAAACACCTTCGCTATAATTAATATTTTAAAAAATTAATAGTATATAAAATCGTGTAAGAAAAACAGTTTAACAGATCAACAAAAATGCATACATTGTCACCCATAAGAAAATTGACAAATCTTAAAAAGAAAACAGAACACGTAAAATTGTAAAAAAACAAAAAAAAAGATGAAAAGATATTTTACAATAGTCCACAAACAACTTTTAATGATTTGAATAAATTTTGTGTTAACATAATTGTCTCAAACATATTTTATAGAGTTAATTTCCTATATAGGTCAAAAAAGTGACCCAAGAGCACAAATAAGAATACATATATGTTTTTTCTTCCATCTAGTAGGACTATTTTATGTGTATTTGGAGGACAAATATGTCCTTGAGCCTTTTGAAAGGTCTTAATTAATAATAAATTCATAAAAAAATAATAAAAAACGTAAAAAAAATAATAAAAAAGTCAAAAATTATTAAAAATTCATAAAATATTTATATTTTTTTTTATTTTTTTTAAATTAATAAAAAAATTAAAAATGCAAAAAAAAAAAAACGCCGCCGCCTCTGCCACCACCACCACCTCCCATCACTGGTTGGAAATCTGCCAAAATTTGTAGTAATGTCATAATAATGGCAGATTCAATGATAATTTTGGCATTATGATGAGTAATAATTCCATTTTTTTATTTTTTAATGGGTTTTTACTATTTTTTATTATTAATAATGATAACAAGAGACAATGTTCTAAAAGGCGCTAGGCGCTAGTCGGGCATCAGCCAAACGCCTTGCGCCTAGACGGTTAGGCGGGAGCCTAGTCGGGGACTAGTCGGAGACATAGAAATGACATTTTTATCTATATCTTTGCATAAATATTATAAGTAATATTATATTTTTATGTGTATAAAATACATATATACACATACATTAACACATGAAATTTAATCATATATAGGTGATTAACAAATTCACACACACACATATGTATACGTAGTATATGATAACAAATCACTTAACTTCAGTATCTTATAAGTATAAATAATAATGAAATTTAGGTATATATACAAACATATATAGTTTTTATCTTACTTTACAACTTCATTTTTTTATATCTATGGCTAAAGTTAAAGTACTTATATCACTTAGAAAATTATAATTAAAAAGTAAAGTAATGTTCAGCGAATCTAGATAGGCTAGGCGACCGATTAGGCGCTCCGAGCTCTCAACTAGGTGTCATAGACGGTCGACTAATTCACCTAAACGTAAAATCAATTAGTCAGACCGCCTAGTCGAAAATTAAATTGGGACGCCCGGCCACCGCATAGCTTCTAGGCGGGGACTTATCAGACGCCTAGAACGATTTTTAGAAGAGACAAGAGACAATGTCATCAAACTAGAGGCTACACCGGGTGAGACACAAAGTTGAAAGATCTCTTAATAGAAAACTAACATGTTAACCCCTCAATATGGTAGAATCCACCAATGCCACAACTGCACGCCTGCGCATGCTACTAGAAATAGAAATAAAAGTAACTAAAATGCGCTGAGAAATAGGAAAATAACTAGAATAAAAGACCCTCTCTTTTTCAATCACCAGGAAGGAATTCACGTTTTGATCAGCCTCCGCCAAAGGTACTTGGAGGAGCTCGCCTCCTCCCCATCTATTGTAAGGTGTTAGAGACGGTTTCTTAATTTATTTTTGGAAACACGTTTCTTAATTTATTTTAGAAAACACATCCTAGTTGCCTTGGGGTTAGGATTTACTTCTCCATAAATACAAGCTCTCTCCCTTGTAATCAGTGTGTGTAGATCCGAAAATAGCAATAATATTACTGGCTTGGTAGCGCCTCCAGACGTAGTCATTCGTGGCGAACCGGGTTACCAAATTTCGTGTGTTCTTTAATTGTTCTTTGTGTTTGTGAGTTAAATTCCTAACAACTGGCATCAAGAGCCCTAGGTTCGAAGGGAGAGTTCAACACGATGGCAGATTTGAAGACACCGTTGATGTAGTTTGATGGGACTGATTTCGGCTTCTGGAAGCTGCAGATCGAAGATTACCTATACGGTAAAGATCTGTATCAACCTCTGGAGGATAAGCCGGAAGACATGAAGGAGAGCGATAGGAAGTTGCTGGACAGGAAAGCGATGAGCGTGGTGCGATTGTCGCTGTCCAGAAACATCGCCCTACATACCGTCAAAGCAAAAACGACGAAGGAGATGTTGCAAATATTAACGGATATGTATGAGAAACCTTCTGCTGCGAACAAGGTACATCTCATGAGGCGTCTTTTTAACCTTAAGATGTCAGAAACCACGGGAGTTATGGAGCATCTCAATGATTTCAATTTAATCACCACACAATTGAGCGCGGTTAAGATCAAGTTCGATGACGAAATTCATGCCCTAATTCTGCTGTCTTCTCTCCCGGAAAGATGGAACGGAACGGTGACTGCAGTCAGCGCTTCGGCAGGGAAGGAGAAACTGAAATTCAATGAAGTCAGAAATCTGGTGGTCAGCGAAGAAATTCGCAGGAAGGAATCAGGTTTGGCTTCTGGATCGGCGTTGAGTACAGAGAACCGGGGCAGAACGAAGTCAA